CCCCCACGTTTCAAAACGCTCCGCCGCCACTGCATGGTGATTAGCTCCTTTGGCGTCGGAGACTCACAAAGACGGACCACGAAGAATTTTTTACTGCTAAGTTCTAAGGAGAACTCTCGGCTGCTAAAAAACAAGGTTCTGATCTTCATGTGCCTGTCCACTACAGATCTGTCAAACTCTTGTTCGCAAATCGTCAGGAAAAAGACATCTTATGGAAACAGCAGTTAGACGAACTCTCCGATATTGCCAGCCCAAGGTGAGAAGTTTTTGTCATGTAAGTAAACGATAACGCTGCACTTTATGAACTCAACCTTGAAGGCACATTGTACCTTATTACAGACACCGTTTCCCTGTGGTGGTCGGTTGGTTCAGGCGCACTGTACAATGTGTTACGAGTGTGCTCTCTTTTCTAATCCGTAAGCCACATGCAGCTGATTTCCGCGTTAGTTCCCTTCGTTGTGAAAACGTACGCAGTCCAACAACCCATTTCCAAATTACCTTTAGCCTCCTTTTAAAAGTGGGTCTTGGTGCACGTCCTTTTTATACTGTAATACGTTTTCATTCACATGCAAATTTTAACTCATTTTCACAAGCATTGTTGAGCCTAGGCCTCGTTTTCAAAAAGAGGCCAAGTGTAATTCGGAAATGGCCTATTTCTCCCACAGCCCTCATTCACTTCATTTAGTAAGTAAGTAAGTAAGTCAGCTTTATTTAAAGAGGGTGTGCACATAACAACTTACACTGACAAACCAGTGGCCCTCAAAACTAAGGATTAGTAAGTAGTTGTCCCAGTAAAAGTCATGTGACTTTGCCCAAAGAGAAACGATGTAACCCCCCCGAGGATTTTATGTGATCTCTGATAGGCACAACATTGTTAGCCTGCGGTCAGAATAAGTCTAATGGTAGGCGCAGTCGGAGATTTACAGCGATAAGAAGGAATGATAGGCTTTTAACCAAGTAGCAACATGTAATGGTGATTTCATGCTCCGATGTAAGGTAAATGTTCGCTTAGTGTCTTTATTTGTCAAATCTGTCTCGATTTTTTTTAACACCTCTTGCAGATTTCAAGTGTTTTACACTGTAACCCAGACCACCCCCGAGTGGGAAGGTTACGAGGGTCGTGTTTCTATGGAGATGTTGTTAGAAATCTTACCCCCTCCCCCCAGTGCAGACACTGAACGGGAGCTATTTATAGGCGTGTGTGGCCCAGACGCTTTCACACACCATATTGTCAGGTAAGGTTTTGATGGACGTTAGGTAAATGCATTTTTTTCCTGCTCAATGACATGTAGAAATAGTAAGAAGTAGTGAAGCTTCCAAAAGAAAGTCGGTCTCTTTAAAAATTTGATTTGGGGAAAATTCTTGTTTTGATTTGGCTGTTTCGCTGTGGTAGTCAGGGTTAATCTGGCAGTAGTCGATAAGTCAGCGTAGACATATAGTAGAATAAGTTCTTTAATCGATGAAGGTTGCTGAAGGTTATCGGCTTTCGGAAAACCAGACTACAGCCTTAAGAAAAGGTACAAATGGCTGTAAGTTTGCTTGGTTAAATGCAGCAGTATTTTACAAAACTTTGCGACGGTTTTAAGTTTTCATCATTCTGTTAAGTTTGTTTCCATTTTCACACAATCCAGTTTGAATGTTTCACTTTTCTAACTTATTGATAGGGTTTCTTTTTTTCCTTTTGATTTTAGTATGCTAAAAGATCTCAGTTACACCGGAAGGATGATTCATGCATTCCTGGCTTGATAAATACTTCGTGTAGGTTGACAGAATTGACTAATTCACACCAGGCAATACGACACAGATCTAATCCACCCGCCACTCAAGTCATAACGTGCAATATGCACCTTGAATATAACACTTATTCATATTTGAATTACTTTGACGCGAAAATGCACATATACTACTGCTCCGGGCGCTATGGTTCTTAAATAAAGACTGATGGCCTTCAAGCGCCCACAACGTTTTCTCGTCCGAAGGGGATGCCTGAAACGTTTGGGCCAGTGGCAATGATCGTGCTCTGATAGCAGGAATATGGCGCAAACACGAGAATGGCATGGTGCATTAGGTAACGACGAACGATAAAAGATGGGATAAAAGCCGCAATCCCGTCGTCCCCTTTAAGCTTTACGTGCCACTCAATCATCTTAATTCTCTATCGCACCCTTAGAGCTGAGAAGTAAGCCAAAGCTGTGGACCAACATTAAACGTTTTGGAATTGCTGTAGCAAAACATTCTCTTTTTGAAAGACTGGTGATCAGTATATTATAATGGAACATTCATTACAAACCCCCACGTTACATTTGTAAGTACTATTAAATAGGAATTCCTTTAAGTCCTGGAGTTTCGAAACCTCGTGAGCAATACATGCGTTCCCAGTTGAATAAAAGCTTGATCATTTGTGATGGTTTGTCTACCCAGTCCCCTCCTTATCGGGCGGATACCGCGGATCAAACCCTCTCTGCCTTTCCAGACATTCCAATCATTCATGGTATGTTTCTAAGATTATCGATAACTTTCCGACATTCGACTTTGGCCAGTAGGGTCATTCGTCGTAGCCCAGTATGGCAGTGCGTCAACATTGCATCCAAACAAGAGCTCGCTTGTGCTTCGATATTATGGCCCGGCGTATCTTGTCCTTCGCACTAGTTTGGGTGTCAATCTGTCTGGGATATTTTCATACAGCTCTTCTTTATTGGATAAAGGCTGATAGTTTCTAAAGAAACTGTTTGGGACTGCGTCGGTGGGGGTAACGAAATAATTTGGTTATATCGACAAAGTCGAAGTGGTAAATTGGCCACCGTAACGATTACAAAAGCTGACGTTTCGATTCGTCGCGATTCGCTCCGACGAAGGGCTAACGCTCGAAACGTCAGCTTTTGTAATCGTTACGGTGGCCAATTTACCACTTCAACTTTGTTGATATATCCAAATTACCTCTTTATTGGATATTGCACGGCGCAAACCATTCGTCGCGTTTGATTTCGAGCCGTATAGTCGGTGTCCATAATGATGAATCATAAAGAATTACTGATTCCACAATGGACATGAAAAAAAACCTGTTTGACCACACGAAACCTAAATTATTGAAGAAAATTGTAAATATGTTGACATACCGTTGGCGAATTATTCTGTTAATAGATAAGCTCTGTGGAAACTTAACCAGCTATTGATAAAATAAATCTTTCGGTCGAAGGCCAAAAGTACAGAGTCTTTTATGGTACACTTTGAGATATCGAGGATTGGGAAAGTCATGCACCAACCCAGAGTAACCTCTTTCACATTTGCAGTCGGTCTTTGTGATGTCGCACAAGGGAGACGAGTAACCTTGAAGGATGTGAATTAAAAATACTCCCTGGCTTGGAGTTTGGTCTCAGATGTTCACAAGGCAAAGCAACATCACGGATTGAAGACCGTTCACTGAGTCTGATTAATTAACATTCAACCATGCCTCTACCCTTTACCCAAAGTATATCCGTGCTTCACCAAACTATGACGGCCGTTAGTTGGAGTCTGATTGTAAGGAGAGAGGGGTAGGAAGGGGATATTTGGTATTAGCTTCCTGATATCTGTCTACGTGGGAAACAATGACTTAATTTCCTTAATTGGGAAATTATGCAATTTGAGGGACACCAACATTGATTCCGCCATGTATTCATGCAGAGAAAGACAAAGGTCAATAAACAAAGAAAAAGGGTTAAAGAAAAGTAACTTTTTATCATAAGAAAAGCCCAAAAACGGCCCTGTAAAACTTGTCAAAGTTAAAATTTTACGTATATCTACTAGAAAATTGAATTTTTTCGTACATCAAGAAAAAAAGCGTAATATATAATTCTGTTAACTTTGACCTTGTTATATTGCTTGAAATCTGCTACCTTTGCCAACGCGAGTTACAAATGAGAGCAGTAACTCTACCATGTGTTATGTCGAACAAAGTTTTTGTTTTAAAAAAATGAAAGGTACTGAATATGATTATCGTAGGTCCACAACAACCTTTATCTGAACAGTAATGCGGCTGCTTCAGATTTTTGGCACAGGCTTGTCACTTCCAAATAAAAATGTCCTAAATGCTAAATCAGCAAGAGTTCAACCCAAAAATCACGACTTAAATTGGACTTAGTCTGAGACTCGCCTTTGTGTACATCGAGTAACCGCTATAAGCAGTCAGCAGAGAAAAAAAACATAAATTCCGTCCGTTCGCTGCCCAGTCTATATATCTAGGCAATTCGCTCAGCAAAATGATTGAAACTGAATCAAAAAGTGATCAGATGACTGAAAAACGATAACGAGAAAGTACATGTAATGAGTCCATGAAATATTGACAGGAAATTATCTCAAATCGCTTTGTTCTTAGTAACGGAATGATTACATCGTCATCCTACAATATGCGAACAGTTTGAGGAAAGCTAGTCCGACTTGACACGGAATAAAGCAATCCCATAGAACCTTGCAAACGTCTTCTACCGATAGCTAAAAGAATTGTGTAATCATTAGGAAGTACGAAGTAGTAAAAGGAACGTAACGCAGTTCTATCTTCTCTTAATTTGTCGTTTTGTTGCACGTGAGCTGAAACAAAGGTTCTTACAGGTCCAGATTGACGTTGTCTCCAATCAGAACAAATGGTGCCCATTCCCTCACAGTGTACCTCGCCGTCTTAGATTCTCTCATCCACTTCATGGTGTGGTGAAGAGCTTCACTGGCACTCATTTTATCACACTTTAGATGTCCGTAGAAACGAATCATGAACTCCTTTGTGGCTTTGTCATCCACGGCCCACAGGGAAACCAACACTGAACGAGCTCCGGAAGCAATGAAAGCTCGAGCGATCCCCACAACTCCCTCCGCTTGCATGATCTTTCCTTTAGCACTGTGACAACAACTGAGTACAACCAGCTTGGCCCGGATTCGAACATTGGCGATGTCTCCCATGGTCAGCATGTAGTCCTCTTTACTTGGCTCTTGAGGGGAGGATGGGTTGGGTGCACAGGCGATCTCTCCTCTTTCGGCATCACCATGGGCGGCGATGTGTATCAGACACACATCAGTTATTCGTCGCAGCACCTCTTCCTTCGTGGCTTGCTTACCAAGCAAAGGCTCCACCTCCAGAAGAGCAGCGACTTCTTTAGCCTCCTGCCTAGCTGCTTTCAATTGCTTAAGACGTGTCACATGACTGACTTGTGGATCCCCAACGATTAGCGCTCCGGTCTGGCTGTGATAATTCTGTGATGAGTCGAGGATAAGCTTGAGTGTTGACAAAGAAGGAATGATGCGAATGCTGCAGGAGTCAGACAAGTACTTTCCAGAATCTTCCTGCAATGCGACAAAGGGAACCATGACCATAGATCCCTCAGGAGCAAGCACGACCTCCCGGCCTTGAATACGATCAGCAATTGGAGCGATAAGTGAGTTGTACAGTTGATTTGGTAGGTTTTCAGCTTCGAGTTCTTCGACGTCCGAGTCTTGAAAGAGACGTTTCTCCCTGATTCTGTCGTGCTGGGCACCATCGGCAGGAGAATGAATGTCATATAAGGCTGACAACGAACGGTCCTCACAGTTAACACTTCGGCCACAGAAAAGTGACCTAATATAAGCTTTAAGGAGGCAATCAATTTTGGCTTTTTCTCCAGACATCTCCTTAAAATTCAGGCCTTTTTCATTGGTCATTATCCACAGGAATTCATATTTTAAACCAGAGCCAACAAATAGTAAGATTTGCCTCTTTGCCAAACTACCCATAAGGCCATTGAGGTCAGTTTCACTGAAGTTGGGCTTTTCTTGAATGCCATATCTCTTTGCCAACAGTTGTGTCAATACATAAGCACGGCCTCGCTCTGCTGTACACAAAGCCTCTGCGAACTTTCCAAGAGCAACCAGGAATGTGCAGCGATGACTGTACATCTGGCCGTCGACTATGGATTCCTCGAAAGAAAGTTTGGCCTCGTCATTAAAAAGGTCACGATTGTGTTCATAACCTTTGATACTCTCAGCCAGGATATCGCATGCCTGTTCAAAGTGCCCGTATTTACCAATACAGACACCTAGCAAACCCAAACAGTCATACTTGTATTCGTGCCAACTTCCCGTTAATATTTTCGTTACATACTCATTAGCCTTATCCGGCTCACGAAGGAGTAAGTGTAGATGACACAGTTGGGAGTAAATGAGGTCCTTATAGTCTAAGTAGTGGTCTTCTAAATTGTTTTTTCCACAAATGTCAAGACCTCTGTGTAAACACTTTATAGCTTCGTCAAATTGTTCAAGTATTCTAAGAACAATACCGAGCCTTAAATAAACCGACAATCCAAAGTAAGGCACTTTTGTATGGAGTTGCATTGCTTTCTCGAAACATTCCTTTGATTCTTCGTAACTCTCTTGAAACATGAACAAGTCTCCTAAAGATACGAGCGCTTTGGCTTTCTTTTCATCACTTTCAATTTCATCGCAGATTTGAAGAGCTTCCGTCAGTTTCCTCAAAGCTTTTTCTTCATGGTCTCGGAAAAACACATGTGCCAAGGTAATTAGGCTTTCAAACTCTATTTTCTTGAAACGACTTTTGCGACTCGTTTGAATTGATTTCTCTAGAAACCTTGCTGCCTCTTCCAACTCACCAACATTCATATGCCTCATAGCAAGCAGATGATAGGCAATTGCTTCTGTCTCTGCATCGCCGGATTCCTTGGTAGCTTCAAGCATTTCCTTGAAATATTCAATACTTTGGTCATGTTGACTTCGGTCAAAAACCAAACACAAACCAAGCGTTCGTTGACATTCGCCCTCGGTCTCTTTGCAGCCAATTTTTCTGCTTTTAGCAAGAGCAAGTTCAGCATGTATCTTTGACTCTTTGTACCTCTCCAAAGTCAGGTTGGTGTCAGCGATGGAAAGAAGTACAAATATAGTCCTTTTATTTAATGCCCTCTGAGTTTCAAGATTCACCGAGGCTTTACATGAATTAATTTCCTGTTCGATGAGTTCTAACAGCGTCAACGACTCTTTGAAGAATTTCAAAGCTGCAAGTGGACGATGCGTGTTTTCTAGGAAACTTGCTACTGACGTTGTAATCTCCACAGCTTCCGTTGTAATCTCCACAGCTTCCGTTGGAATCTCCACAGCTTCCGTTGTAATCTCCACAGCTTCCGTTGGAATCTCCACAGCTTCCGTTGTAATCTCCACAGCTTCCGTTGTAATCTCCACAGCTTCCGTTGTAACCTCCACAGCTTCCGTTGTAATCTCCACAGCTTCTACTTTTTCCATGATTAACGCCGGGCTACAATTGAATAAATTGAAAACCCTTATAAGAAACCTTATGATTACCCATCTCCATGACAACTTGCACTATATGGACACGCGTAATTATCAATCAGCCAAGCAGAGACAAGCACTAGCTTCCGCTTGCTTGAGTGACGGACGTTTGATAATCGTGCATATCAAACAACTTCTACGACTGGTTCGTCAAAGATTGTCAGACTAAAGAACAAAAATGAACCTGTCAATCACGTGAGGTTATCTGGATATCTCATAGTCAATGAATTTTAATAAAAAATAATGAAATAAATAAATTTATCAAACCGGCAATGCCTTGTCCTTACTGTGACGTTATCTCAGATTTCATTAAAAACCTGAGGTCAAGGAAGACAACAAACTGTGAACTGAAGGACTTGTGCACTTATAGACAACTTTTCTCAAAACAGCTGTAAATCACCAAATTGTTTTGGATGTCTGCTGAGACTCGTGAGCTGGGAATGACTTTCTGATCGTCCTAAAGGGCCTTGCTCCAAAATCGAAATCGCGAAATCAAGAAGAAATCTAAGCTGTTCCGAGACCAATATCCACAAAAATTGGTTTAAGAAATTTCATCCTAACATTATTTTAAACCTCGCTCCTCTGATTTATTTATGGAAAAAATAGTTCGACTGAAACGAAAATAAGTTTTTTCTATAGCACCCTGAATAGAAGCGGTCGAGGCTCACTAGGATCAGTGTATCCAACCACTTTAACATATGCAATGGCCATAATTGTAAACTTAGAGTCCCCCCCATCGAAATCGAGCCATGCTAAATCCTTGACCAACGACTTGAGGAATGCGTCTTCAAATATCGAGAAGCTAGCAATCCAAATCTTCAGCGATGTAGACAAGCATCAAGAGCTGATCGTAATAAACAAACGTTTGTATATATACGCCCAATCAGATAATCAATAACATGTCATCAACAGTAGTCATAGAAATAAGAAGGAATACCGCTAAAATTAACGCTATTACAAGATTCACGAAGGTAAGCAGGAAATTCATGGCAACAACCTTCTTAGTTTTATATCAACATTGAAATTACACACTATCAAGAACAACTTTAGTTACAATGAGACATTGAGTTGAATACTTTGGAAAACGAAATAATTTTCGAGGTTTCGAAACCGTTAGGATCTGTCGACATGCATGACGTACATTTTGATTTATATCTCAAAGTTCCCATTCTTTTCAAAGAAAATCCATCTGAAAACAAAGCATACAGTCTCGTAGGTAATCTCTTGTTTTCCCCTTTTTTTTTCTTTTAATAGAATACCGCTTGTCGTCTGGAGTAAGGAAGTCTTACGCAAGGCTCTGATGATAAAATTTTTCCACATCCGTCTCAGTTCACTTTCTCAGGTGCATGCAGGAAGTAATCTTGATTTTAACCTTGATCATAAAAGATTGACCTTACAAGCAAGAACCGTTACACACAAACCTCTAAACTGAAGCAACTTTAGAATCTTCCTTTGCTATGTATATCCTTTCACAAATTAATCTATCATCCAGCGACAAAACCGAGTATAAAGCAAAACATTCGTCCGGAAGGCGTTGTCGATCTCTGTCAACCTAAATAAAGAGATATGACTATTACCACTCTCCTACCCAGTTCTTACACGGCCGAGCGGTTGAAAACACGAGATTAGACTATTACACTAGCTACATCATACCAGCTCAATAAGTGAATCCGCTGACCAGAGGCATCGTGAAATACAAATCGGTAAATGAAAAGTGAAGTACGCACGAGTCATTACATGAAATAGTAGATACAGACTCAAGAAAAAGCAGATCGAGAATCGACCCTACGAAAACGAAATTAACATAAGGAAAGGAATTTCTTGTTGGTGGAAAAATAGAACATGAAAAATTCCTTAAGAGTAGCAAGTGCAGAATGAAAAGAATAGTCGAGAAGAGAGAGTAGGTGAAAACTTTGTTCCTCTGTGACGGTTCTGCCAGATAGATACACTTTAGCTCTGTATCAAACAAAGACGCGCGTGCTGTGAATGAGACCAGTGGAAAACGGTGGATGTCCTTAATAGAGTGACCGGAAGTTAGTTGTGTATAGAACTTCCGCAAATGATAACCAATACGCGGCGCTTTCAATCAAACTAAAGCAATTAATTGGAATGAGTTCTTAAAAAGGGCTCAACTTGCGCTATTCAAAGATTCTCACCTCGTTCATGTTTAAACGAAACTCTCTGGGAAATTTCTTGTAAATTTCAAGTTATTTCATGTTAAAAAGACAAAGATGTGGTGTACGGAATTTTGATGATAGAGACTAAAAGGCGGGAGGTAGATGTAAACTTCACGTCAGCGCGGGTTATGAAATAAATTTCCCAACAATTTTATTACCGATTTTGGAAGTTCAGTGATGGCTTTCACTGCGCATATAAGAATAATGATCAGAAGTGGTTGATCATCGGAGATTATGAGCTTTGAAGTACCCTACTTTTTGGACTTTGTCAAGACCAGAAAAAGTGTGAGGTAAAGCAAGAAATGAGATGAAAAGTTAAAAATATTCAATTTTCTTGAAGTCTGATAGATATAGAGTAAAACCCAGTTGATTTAAATTGCAGATGGATTTTCAGTTTGTCACAACAGCAATGCAAAGTTAGCTAATTAATTAGGCAAAAATGGCAGGAAATTGGGGTTTTCCAAGGGTGACCCTATATCTCCCAGGGAATTAAATGTTTGGACCTATTATTTTCATACACTTGTTAACTCATGATATTTGTTCCAGGTTTGAGCCAAGGTGCATTTGTTCCAGGTTTGAGCCAAATCGGTGATTTGAGGTTTATTGCCCCCTGCCCGGTTTACTCTTGAACACGCTCTTAGATTTGTCACAGCATTGAGGCATAATTTGCATATAAAGCCGTAGCTCTTGGGACTCTACCATAGAGCAATTTCATCAAAATATTGTTTACAAGAAAGACAATAGATTCTTTTGCGTATTTCCAAAATACCATTTTAAAAGTTAAGTTTAATCCTGCTTCGAAATAATCTCAACTTGCTTTGTGCCGCTGTATAACTACATCAGTATCCAAAACAGTTCTTTAGCAATGGTTATCGAACATTGCAAAAGTCGAGTTAAACAGTCCTCGGTGTCTGTTTAAGACTCGAACGTTGGGAACGATTTTATGGCCATCCTAGAGGGTGTTACTCCGCAATCGATCGCAGAGTCATGAAGAAATCAAGGATGTTCCGAGACTGATTTTCACAAAAATGGTTTACGGAATTTTATCGTCAAACTATTTCAAACCTCGATACCTTGATCTATTTATGAAAAAAAAAATAAAGAGTTCAACTGAAACGAGAACGAGTCCTTTTCATAGCAATCTGAATGTAAGCGGTCAAGGCTTGTTAAGTAATGTATCCCACGATCTTCACATATGTAATGGCCAAAATTTTAAGCCACGAATCCCCCCCCAACAAATCTAAATCTAAATCGAGCTAAATTCTTGACCAAGCACTTAAGCGATACATCTTCAAATATAAAGAAGCGAGCAAACCAAATCTTCAGCGATTTAGACAAGCATCAAGAGCTGATTTAAGGAACAAAATTCTGTATATATACGCCCAATCAGATAACTTATAACATATCAACAACAGTAGTCACAGAAATAAGAAGGAATATCACTTAAATTAACGCCAGCACAAGATTCACTAAGGTAAACAGGCATTTCATGACAGCACCCTTCTTAGCTTTAAATCAGCGTTGAAAATACTCACCATCAAAAGAACACCTTTAGTTGCCATAAGACATTGACTGAGTTTAATACTTTGGAAAACGAAATAATTTTCGAAACCGTTAGCATCTGGCGAGATGCATGACGTACATTGCGATTTATATCTTAAAGTCTTCTTTCCTTTCAAAGAGAACCATCTGAAAACAAAGCGTATAGTCTCGTTGGTAGTCTCTTGTTTTCTCCTTTTTTTCTTTTAACAAAATACCGCTTACCTTCTGATATAAGGAAGTCTTGGGCGAGGCTCTGATGATAAAATTTTTCCACTTTCGTCTCAGTTCGCTTTCTCAGGTGCGTGCAGGAAGTATTCTTGATTTTTCACGGAAAAGCGTGCGCACGCGACTTAAGAAAAATTTCAGACATGCGCAGAAGGTCACGTGTCTACTGATATTGAAACTGTTGCGGAACATAAACAAGGAGTGATGTTTGAACAAAATCAAATGCCACGGCCATGTCCATTAGAAGCCCCAACGTTTCCAACGACCCCTAGTCTCACTCTGCCGTAAAATTTTATATGGAAAGAAGCATAACTAATACGGAGTCAGGTATTCATTTCTTGACTTAGCAGAGGATGAACGAACAAAAGAAGTACTCTTTGCAGAAAAAAAACTACGCGCATTTATTTGCCGAATGATAGATCAATTTATGAAAAGGATGTAAAAAAGCAAAGGAAGATTCTAAAGTTGCTTCAGTGTAGAGGTTTCTGCGTGACGGTTTTTGCTTGTAAAGTCAATCTTTCATGATCAAGATTAAAATCAAGATTACTTCCTGCATGCACTTGAGAAAGCAAACTGAGGCGGGAGTGGTAATATTTTGTCATCAGAGCCTCGCGCATGATTTCTTTATTTCAGTCAATAAACGTTATTTTGTTACAAGAAAAATAAAAAGGAGTAAACAAGAGATTACCTACGGGACTCTACGCTTTGTTCTCTGATGGATTCTCTTTGAAATGAACGAAAATCTCAAGATATAAATCAAAATCTATGTCATATAGACAGCTGCAAGTGGTTTCGAAAATTATTTTGTTTTCTAAAGTATTCAAGTCAGTCAATGTCGTATTGAAACTACGTACAGTTGTCCTTACTGGGGAGAATTTTAATTGTTGATATAAAACCAAGAGGGGCGCTGTCATGAAATGCCTGCTTTTCTTCGTTAATTACGTATTGGCGTTAATTTTAGTGACATGTTCCTTCTTGTTTCTGTGACTACTGTCGGTAACGTGTTACTAGTTATATACGCAAACTTCTGAATACACATTTGTTCTTTACGGTCAGTTCTTGATGATTGTCTACATTGCCGAATATTTCGTTTGTTAACTTCTTGATATATGAAGATATTCCGCTTGAGTGGTATCCAGCCCCTAAAAAAATCCGTTTCTCTAATGTTGATTTACAGCTAATTCGAGGAGGGTTGTCGGAAAAATTATCACGTTCACGTGACAACCCGAAAGGCATTGTGGGTAGTTTTAAGCTCTCTGTCCTTACTTGACCTCAACATTTCAAAGGAATCTGAGAAAATTGTCACTATGAGAACAAGGCATCGCGGGTTGGATTAATTAATTAATTAATTAACTAATTTCATTTTACATTAATTGATTACCAGATACCTTGATTACCTCCCAAAATTAGTGCGTTCAGTTTTTCTCCTTTTTCCTTACAACCTTTCTCGAAACAGCTGTGGATCTTTGTAGAGTTGTTCGATTATCAAATGTGCTTTTTTCAGGCAGGCGAAAGCGAGTGCTTGCCTCCTCTTAGCTGATTATCTATTATTCGTGTCCATATTTTGCGACTTGGCGTAGAGATGTCTAATCATAGTGTCCCTTAAGAGAGCTTTATTTTATTCACTCAGCCCGTCATTAATCGTGGAAAAAGTAGCTGTCGTGGAAGCTCTGGAGATTACTACGTTAGTGGCACGCTTTCTAGAAAACACCAAACGTCGACGTGCAGCTTTAAATTTCTACAAAGAGTTGGTGACGCTGTTAGAACTTAGACAGGAATTTAATTTATCAAAAGCCTGGAGGAATTTTAAAACACGAAAGGAATTGGATTACAGGACTATATCAGCATTTCTTTCCATCACTGTCATCAACTTACACTTGGGTAAGTACAATGAATCAAAGATATACGCTGAACTTGCTCTTGCTAAAAGCAGAAAACTGACTGCAAAAAGATGGAAGTATTATGTCATCAGATATTTAGTATATGTTTGGCTTTTGGCCGTAACCAACATGACCGAAATACTGAATGTCTCAAGGAAATGCTTCAAGTTACCAAGGAATCCGGCGATACAGAGACAGAAGCAACTGCTTATTACCCGCTTGCGATGACAAATATTGATGTTGGTCAGATGGATGAGGAAGCAGAGTTTCTATAGAAATCAATTCAAACGAGTCACAAGGGTGGTTGCAGATGGAAAGAGTTTGAATGCCTAATCGCACTGGCACTTAAAGTGCTTTCACCTGGCAACAAAAATAAAGCGTTTGAGAAACTGGAAGAGGCTCTTCTAATAAGCGAACAAATTGCAGACATTAAATGGAAAGCTAGAGCCTCCAGGCTTTAGGGGACGCTTATTGGGTTGATAGTAGATACGAAGAGGCAAGGGAATATTACGAGAACTTAGTGCAGTTCAGTGCAATATTGCCTTATGCAAGAATATGGGTTTACATCAGGCTCGTTACTGTTCTTGTTGTACTTAAACAGTTTGATGAAGCCATGAAGTGTTTGCACAAAGCCCTCGAAACCTGTGAAGAAGACAAGTCAGTATAACAGACCTTATGCTGCAAGGACGACATCTACGTCGAACTCTGTCACCTTCATTTACTCCTTGGTCAGCCGGGAAAAGCTACTGAGTATGTAAAGAAGATATTACAATAAAGAGAAGTTGCTACGAAAAGAAGCATGCGCCCCTTGGCCGCCTACGTACCTATATTAGTGGATACGACCACTTTGAACAAGCATGCGACATCCTGGCTGAGAGTATCAAAGGTTACGAAACAATCTTGAGCCTCTAGATGATGAATCCAAACTTTCTGTTGGAGAAATAGAAGTCAACGTCATAATTCATCAGCATCGTTACTTTTTGTTATTTGCTCTTGGTAAGTTCAACGAGGCTTTGTGTACAGCACAGCAAGGCCGTGCCCGTGTATTGACAGGACTGTTGGCAAAGAAATTGTAGCTGCACGAAAAGGCCAAGTTCAGCTAGTGAAACGGAACTCAGTAGCCTTATGGGTAGTTTGAAGAAGAGTCAAATGATAGTATATTTTGGCTCTGCTGTCAAAAGGAGCGTCTGCTGGATAATGGAAAATGAACATTGTCCGAAACTGGAGGTGATCTATCAAGAAGAAGCCGAAGTTGATTGTCTCCTCGAGGCTTCTCTCAGGTCACTTTCGTGTAGTCAAAGCATCAACTGTGAGGACCGTCCGTTGTTAGCCTTGTGCGAAAATCAGTCTGCTGTTAATCGTAACCAGAACGTCAAAGTCAGAGAGAAACGTCCCTTTGAAGACTCAGACGACGAGGAACTTGAAGCTTAAAACTTACCAAATCAACTGTACAACACACATATAGCTCTGTTTGCTAATGGTATTCAAGACCGAGAGGTTGTACTTGCTCCCAACGGATCTATTGTCATGGTTCCCTTTGCCGCATTTCAGGACGATTCTGAAAAGTACCTATCTGACTCGTGCAGCATTCGAATCATTCCTTCGTTGTCAACACTCAAGCTTATCCTCGACTCCCCAGAGAATTATCACAGCTAGACTGGAGCGCTGATTGTTAGTGATCCACAAGTCAGCCATGTCACACCATTATGGCAATTGAAAGCAGCGAGGCAGGAGGCTAAAGAAATCGCTGATCTTCTAGAGCTGGAGCCTTTGTTGGGTGAGCAAGCCATGAAGGAAGAGGTGCTTCGACGAATAAGTGATGTGCGTTTGATACACCTCGCCGCCCATGGCGATGCGGAAAGAGGAGAGATTGCTTGTGCACCCAACCCATCCTCCCCTAAAATCCCAATGAAGGAGAATTACATACTGACCATCTCAGACGTCGGCAATGTCCGAATCCGGGCCAAGCTGGTTGTGCTCAGCTGTTGTCACAGTGCTAAAGGAAAGATCATGAAAGCCGAAGGAGTTGTGGGGATCGCTCGAGCTTTTATTGCTTCCGGAGCGCGTTCGGTGCTGCATGGTTTCCCTGTGGGCCGTAGATGACAAAGCCAAGAAGGAGTTCATGATTCGTATCTACGGACAGCTGAAGAGTGATAAAATAAGCGCCAGGGAAGCTCTTCACCAGACCATGAAGTGGATGAGAGAATCTAAGTCGGCGAGGTACACTGTGAGGGAATGGGCACCATTTGTTCTCATTGGAGATGACGTTAATCTGAACTTGTAAGAACTTTTTTTCAAGTCCGGTGCAGTAAGACGAGAACACGGGAGAGAGAAATGTACCACTTTTTCTAATATTAAATGTAACTTCTGATGAGAAAATGACTTTTGTTCCGGTTATCAGTCGACTTTTGCAAAGTTTGATAGTCATTGCTAAAGAACTGATTTGTATACCTGTAGTAGTTGCATCGCAATCCAGAGCAAAACAATTTAAAATTATTTCATAATAGCATAAACGTAACTTTCAAAGTAGTATTTTGGAAATACGCGAATGAATTTCTTGACGAAATCGTTCCATTCAGAAAAAAACGGATCGAGAAACGACCCTAGGAAAGCGAATTGAACATAAGGAAAGGAATCTATCATTCAGCGAACACATAAGTGCCATCTATAAGAAAACAAGCCCGAAAGTAGGAGTGCTAATGAGGCTAAGCAACCTTATTCCCTACTCAGCCAAACTTCAACTCTACAAATCTGCTATTTTACCGCATCTGACGTTTTGTGACATTGTGTGGCATTTCTGAAAAACTGCCGATAGACGTAAGCTCGAACGTATTCGAGAACGAGCACTGTGAGCAATTTTTAAATCTAAGGTGGACACGTACAGTACTTTATTAAACAGAGCCTCCCTATCAACTCTATATGAAAGGAGATTACAAAGCATAGCTACACTCATGTTTAAAGTTAAAACGGATTAATGCCACTCTATATTACAGAAATATTCCAGTCTACCTATAAAGGCTATGAGCTTAGGAACGCTGATTTTAATGTCCCGAGGGTCAGAACGTCCCGTTACGGCAAACACTCACTTCGTTGCTTCGGACCGTACTTATGGAGGAAGTTAATCGTCAGTGATCGGGAGAAACCATCTTTCAACGATTTTAGACAAAGCATAAAGAAACGAAACCTGGCCGAATTGTTAAAAGACACCTGCGTGGACTGTGAAATCTGCTCTTAAAATAAGATTTTATCATTCTGTATAATTTTTAGCGATCTAAAAGTATTATTGGTATGTAAATAAGGCTCCAGTTTTATATCTGAAATTTTACTCTAAATGTGTAAATAACTAATAAATTTATCTTTAAACTTCTGTAGGTTAAGTAATTAAGTAGTGTCCCCAATTAGTTTTTACACCTGTAAAGCTAAATACATTGACACTTGAATAAAGTTTTCATTCATTCATTCATTCATTTCTTGTTCGAAAGCAGACATCAAGAAATGAAATTTTCTGGTGGAAAAATAGAACATGAAAAAATTCTGCAAATGCAGAATGAAGAGAATAGTCTAGATGAGAGAGTAGGTGAAAGCTTTTTTCATTGTTGACAGTTCTATAAGATGAATATCAACTGGCTCTCTATGAAACAAAGACACGTGTGCTCGTTAATAGAGTGACCGGAAGTTAAATATTTTTAGAACTTCCGCTAACGATGACTAAAACGCGGCCCTTTCAATCAGACTAAAGCAATTAATTGGAATGAGTCATTGATTTCAATCGAAAAAAGAAAGGTTATTTGTTAGGAGAAGCTCGAGGGAGACCGTGGTAACGCACTTCTTTCTTTGTTCACATGATTTACTCGTTCTGTGCAAATGATAGTCCATGATGCAGTCTGTTTTCATGTCGTAAAGGTCACGTGTCTATGATATTGGAACTGTCGCGGAACATAACCAAGGAATGATATTTGAACGAAATAAAATACCAATGCCACTCCATTAGAAACCCAACGCTTGCAACGACCCCTAGTCTTACTCTCCCGTAAAATTGTACATGGATATTTTATACAAATTTTATATAAATGATACAGAGCCAGTGTTCATTTCTTGACTTGGCAGAAAGGATAACCGAGCAAAGAAGAACGCTTTGCAGAAAAAAAAATACGCGCAGTTAGGCCAATCAGAGCCACCCAACTGAAGTTCTTGCGCAATTACATTTCTTAAAAACAAAACAGACGGTGAGATTTCGACTTAGCTTTTATTTCTTCTTCCTCGTTTTCTTATAAATGAAAAGAAAGGACAATGCTTTTTTTCTGAGGTTTACAAAAACTTAAATTTATTACAGGATTAATGCATAATTTGCTTATAAAGCCGTAGCTCTTGGGACTCTACAATAGAGCAATTTCATCAAAATATTGTTTACATGAAAGACAGTAAATTCCTTCCCGTATTTCCAAAATACTTCTTTAAAAGGTAAGTCCGATCCTATTATGAAATAATCTCAACCTGCTTTGTACGGTATAATTAAATCATTATCCAAAACAGTTCTTTGGCAATGTCTATGCTACATTAGAAAACTCGGCTAAAAAGTAAAACAAAAGTTGACAGATCATTAGAAAGTACTACGTAATATTGAAAAAGGAATTGATACATTTCCCTCTCCTGTGTTCTCGTCTTGCTGCACCTGGCTTGAAAAAAGGTTCTCACAGGTCCAGATTGACGTCATCTCCAATCAGAACAAATGGTGCCCATTCTCTCACAGTGTACCTCGCCGACTTAGATTCTCTCATCCACTTCATGGTCTGGTGAAGAGCTTCACTGGCACTCATTTTATCACACTTCAGATGTCCGTAGAAACGAATCATGAACTCCTTTGTAGCTTTGTCATCCACGGCCCATAGCGAAACAAGCACTGAACGAGCTCCAGAAGCAATGAAAGCTCGAGCGATCCCAATAACTCCCTCGGCTTTCATGATCTTTCCTTTAGCACTGTGACAACAGCTGAGTACAACCAGTTTGGCCCTGATCCGAACATTGGCGATGTCTTCCATGCTCAGCATATAGTCCTCCTTACTTGGCTCTTGAGGGGAGGATGGGTTGGGTGCACAAGCGATCTCTCCTCTTTCAGCATCACCATGGGCGGCGATGTGTATCAGACACACATCAGTTATTCGCCACAGCACCTCTTCCTTCGTGGCTTGCTCACCCAACAAAGGCTCCACCTCTAGAAGATCAGCGATTTCTTTAGCCTCCTGCCTCGCTGCTTTCAATTGCTCTAGTGGCGTGATATGACTGACTTGTGGATCACCAACAATCAGCGCTCCAGTTTGGCTGTGATAATCTGGTGGAGAGTCAAGGATAAGCTTAAGTGCTGTCAACGAGGGAATGATGCGGATTTTGCAAGTATCAGACACGTAATTTCCAGAATCATCTTGCAGCGCCGCAAAGGGAACCATGAACAGGCTTGGTTCGGGGACGAGCAAAACCTCTCGGTTTTCGATACGATCTGCAATTGGGGCAATCAATATTTCGTGTACATGATTCTCAATATCTGCCGAGTTTTCATCGTCCAACTCAATGAGGCGTTTCACCGTTTTAGTTGTGTAGTCCTCGCCGTCTTTATTCTCAGACTTGAGGTCGCAGTCGTACAATGCTGATAACGAACGGTCTTCACACTCAGTTTCTCGTTCATTGACAAAGGATTTGATATCATCGCGTGGTTTAGCTTCCAGAAGATCAAGCAGTGTTTTTGGTGACTTTAATTGCTCCAGCTTTCCATTGTTATCACCTGATAGGAGCCAATAATTAAATTCGATAAAAAAAAGAGCTATGAATACTAAAATTTGTTTCTTCTGCAGTCTTTCCACTAAACCGACTAAAGTTTCCTCATTAACAGGTGTGGTGCATCCTTCAATTGAATATCTCTTTGTTAGCAATTCTCTCAGGACACGCGCACGGCCTTGTTCTGCAGCAATCAAAGAATCGAGGTCTCTGCCAAGATCAAGAAGTAAACAAGAATGCGCATGATACACAGAGAGGAGGAAATTTCCTTTCTTACTTCCTAGATACATTTTGTGCTCATCACTTAGGGGCTCCAGTTCACTTTCAAATTGTTCTATGCTTTCTGATGAAATATCGTATGCTTGTTCTACAAATCCTTCTGCAACATAACCATTAGCTGCACGCATTAGAGCCAACGACCTAGGAATCCTTCTAAATCCTGTTTTCCTAATTGATTTAGTCGCTCGCTCTCTGTATTCCGTTGCCTTGTCACACTGGCCGAGAGCAAGGTGTACATCAGTCAGCCAAATACAGGCTTGCTCATAGACTTCTCTTTCTCCTGACGAATAACTTAGTTCAGCGGCTTTTTCTAGGTAGGGAAGTGCTTCGTCATACCGTAGAGAGTGTGCAAGAAATCCGCCTAAATTAAAACATGTACGGCCTTCGTTCTTTCTATCATTCGCTTGTCTACTGATTTGAAGAGATTTTTTCATATACTGGAAAAACTTATCCTCTTCCCCAGCTCTTTCAAAAGCCATTCCCATAAGATTCAATACTGTTGCTCTTCCAAAAGCGTCATCAATCTCTTCGAAAATTTTGAGTGATTTTTCTAAAGTGAGAAACTCTTTCTCGATCTTCCAAAGGCAACCAAACACTTTACTAATGTCGGTTAGAGCTACAGCCTCCATTTTTTTGTCTCCTTTGTCTCGGCTCAGACGGATTGATTCTAGATAGCAATCGCGTGCTTCTTCGTACTGTTCTAGGTCATGATATACTTTTCCAAGGCACCAGAAAGTTTTCGCTTGTTCTCGATATCCAATCGCTTCATTTATCTGAAGTGCTCTTTTAAAATGTTTGATTGACTTGTCGAATCGGCCAAGACCTTGGTACAAATAGCCAATACTGAAGGAGAACTTCCATAAGCAGCTTTCGTCGTTGAGCTCTTCGCTTACTCTAAGACCAAGTTTGAAAGTCGATTTTGCTTCATTAATGGAACCAAGGCTGAAGTACGCAGGACCAAGGGCAAGGTACACAAACATTCTGAGGGCGTCCCTTTTTGATGACGGTTCGTTTTCGACATGGTCTGCCAGAGTCAGCAACTCTTTGTAAAGTTGTATGGCAAAATAGGGACGGTTGGTCTTTAAAAAGAAATCCGCTACATCGGAAGCAATGTCCACAATCAGATTGAACAAAATCTTGACCATCATTTAGCATGGATTCTGCATTGGCAAAAAAATTACCGTTGATACTGCTACGGAGTGTCAAATGGTTAGGATAAGCGCCATAAATTTGACAAGTTAACAATGTTCTCTGCAGTCTGTAACGATGTCACTTGGATAGCCGCGCAATAAACTAGAAGTCGCCGATATTGTTATCTTCGATGAGCGCATGTCGATGAGCACATGTTATCTTCGATGAGCACATGTTATCTTCGATGAGCACATGTCATTAGATAAGCATGTCACCAGTACCTGCAAAGCCTGTTTCTTCCACCTTAGAAACATTAGCAAGATAAGGGACTGCCTATCTCTAGCAGATACTGTCAAATAAGAACGAAAACCCGCAACAAAGGTTATCCTCGTCGTTCCTTTACTGCACAAGAGAAGAAGGATTCTTATCTCCTTTCCTGCTAATGTTTAAAACACGTTTTGTCCCCAGACATATTTTTCTTCAACAAAATGCCATCTGAGATACAATGAATAAATGAAGTTCATATATATATGCACTTCATATATTCATTGTATCTCACGAATTGTTTCTTTCACGAATCAACTTAACGGCCTGCTCCCAGTTGACTTGTTAGCTCAATTGGTAGAGCGTTGCACTAGTATCGCAGAGGTCAGTGGTTCGAGCCCGTACAGGCCTGATTTTTTTTCAGGTCTGATTTTCGCTATTGCATAAATAGCGCTATATACTGCGAGGATCGTGCATCATACGTAAAATGCCATCTGATCACGAACGACCTATTCAATGACAAAATTGAAACCATTCTCTTTGCGTTATCAAAATCGTAACCCGGAACATTTATCCCAGCGAACATTACAAAATACTATAAAAAGATTGAGATGAAGAAAAACTTGACCAGAGAGCCAAATCAAATGAATCAAAGAAGCGTCATACACGGTACTTCCTTGAACATTAACCCAAGATAATCGTGTTGAATGACCAATCGTAATCGCGGTATGCGTCTGTTTACTTCTCTTCACTTAAGAGAAGACCGTATACAGTAGTTACTGGCTGAGGGCTTTAACGTCAGTAGAAGAGGAACTTCGTGCCTTGCGCGGATATCATCGCTTTTCAAACGTGCCTTGAACTGAAAGGTCAGTCGCTTGTCGACCATTGTCGTGGAGAGGATTTCGACAGCTTCGTAATTAAATGTATCATCGGTCGACCAGGAAAATCGAGTCGCACTGCAATCGTGCAGTTAACATAACATAACACAACGGAAGGTAATATTGCAAAAATTAAAACCCGTGGGAGAAACATGAAGAGTACGGATTTTCACATGACATCTTCAAATTCGAAAATTTGGAAATTTATAGCCACGAAAATTTATATCCTCATCAGGCATAAGGGGGTCTAAATTCGTATCTATTTCCAAAATTTTCAGCTCAATGGCATGCTTGGTTTGGAAAGCAGCGCAGTTTAAAGTTCAGAGTTATGGTGGTTGCGTGACTTGCAGCTCTAATCGCGTTTGTCGAAAAATATAGTCCTATCTGCTGATTTTTAGTCTTTTTATGAAATTATGTGTTAGAAAAAGTATTTTTGTACATATTTGTTGGTTTAGTTTAGATAATCACAGGGCTAGTTGGCCAAAGTTGGTTCCAGATGTTTTGCACTATTTCCGGCTGCCATGTTGGTTGACCAAAGATATCCACCAACACGGCGGCTGCATGCTGGGCTCTGTAAACTTGCGCTTAAATTTGGGAAAACAAAGAGACCTAAAACTTGGAGAAGTGCTTCCTTAACCTATATCCTTTAATATTGCAATTTCTGAACTTTATCCACTGAATTTCTTTTTCTCGATGCGTAATAGTGGAAACGATTAGTTCGTACGCATTTTTTCCGGTGTCTTTCGTGGACTGATCTTACAACTAAATTTAAACGTTTCACACCGATGAAAGCAACATGATTTTAAAACGATTGAGAGGTAAATGTTTAGAAATTGCGAAAACAAAATAACTTGGGAAGCAGCACAGAAATTTTATCCGACGCTTTAATCACAAAAGCACTTCCGCTTTCACTCCTGCTTTCTGACCTAAGCTTGATTATTACCCTACAATATATCCCTTTAAAGCAAAAGTAATCACATACAAATTTCTCGATTGAATCAATCTAGAATCTGTCTTTGCTACTCATGCCATTTCCATATTTTTCTTATTCATCCAGTGACAAATCTGAAATCGAAACATTTGTCTCGAAGGTGTTGACGCACCCGATTCGCCTTTAATCTACCGCTTATAACCGAATCTAATTATTCTCAAATTACCGCATACATGCTGATAAAGTAGGCCCTATTTACCTACCGAGATTAGATTACCGAGAACAAAACAAAGGCCAAAACAAAAGAAAACAAAGGAAAACAAAACAAAGGAAATGATTTCAGAATGTTTTTCTGTTCTTCAGTAATCTTCACGCGTGGAATTTTATCCATGATCTCTTTTTACCAGATGTAAAAGCGATGAATTTTCCTCTTTCGCTTGAACCTTGCCACATGTCAAGTGCGACTGCGATACCGAAGCTAAGCTACAAATCCAGCACCTTACCAGGCCTTTTTTTTGTTCTCGGTAATCTAATCTCGGTAGGTAAATAGG